AACCCACCATTCTCTCCCAACATGACAAAACTTAGATACCCATCTGTAGTGACACTGGTCTCTAAAATCATATCCCTCTCGTGGTTTTGTTCATAAGACTCTACAAAGTAGCGTATCCGTATCTTGGACCACTTTCCTGCAGCACCCAGCTTCCCACAAATGCTAGAAAACCTATAAACTTCTTTTTTTTTAAATTTCAGAACAAGGCTTAACAAGTGCAAGTGTTGCACTACCTAACACTTAGGAAAGGAAACTTTTTATAGGTTATCACTTAAAGCTCATAAGAGGATTCAGAAATGTATTTTTTTTTAAAAGGATTTTAAAAGTTTTAGAAATATTATGACTCACATTTCAGCTAGGAAACCAAGATGTAGATCTGCTTGAGGAGAAGTTGGCATAAGGAATAGGCCTTCTACACCAAGAAACCAAAGAAGATGGGAAGACCAATTTCAACCCTCCTGCTAGTAACTACTGAAGACACAGAGTCCAGATAAGCCTTTTGCATTAATATAAATTCAATATAGAATAGAAAAAAAAAGACAAAGTACACAAAATCATCCATTTTCAAGTAAACTGAAGCAGCACCACAGAAAATTCTGAAAAAATGCAAAGCCAGCTGAAACACTACAAAGATTCTCCAACAGTCTTAAATTTATACACATAAGCCATGTGAAGTTCATTCATTACTTTGATCAGTTTTTATCAAATGGGGATTAAAAGCAAATACCTAACCTAAGATAGGCAAGGAAAGGGAAGACAATAATTAATGTCTAGGATTTTTGTCTGGATTTTAGTAAGAATTCACATGATGCCACCTCTTGGGAGATTAACCATGATCTTTCATCTTATACAAAACAAGCCTGCTTTTTCTTCAACACCACCTCCTTTGCAATGGCTGTGATACAGTTGTTTTCCTGTCATATTAAGGATGCTTTCCCTCTCAACTTCTGTATGCTATGTACCAAAATTGCATAAAGGACTGAGACAGCACTGTATCTCAACCTTTAAAGCAGGGCAACATAGTAGAAAAAAAAAAGTAACATTCAGCCTGGCAGGAGTATTTTCTTTATTTAAATGACAAACAGCTGAGCTGAACAGAAGCACCTGGAGTTTTCACCCCACAAAAAATAGCCCAAAAATGAATATAATTTTTTTTGGGGGGGTGGAACTGCCTTCACAGTCAAAACTACCATCACACTTTTTTTTTTTTTCTTCTTTCCCCAGTCATTGGGGTCTGCAAAACAGTTTTCTTAACACCTCCATCCTCCCCAGAATTACACTAACAGCTTAGAATTACGCATGAAGACATTGCCTGTTTACAGCTTTTGAGAACTTATGATTCAATGCTCTAAAAACAGTTAGAAACTGTCCAGGAGACACAGCCTTCTTTCATATGCACCTAGCTATTTTCCATTCAAAGTTTGGTTAGATTGCCCTGAGCTGTGTTTCTCTGGCAATCTTATTATCTTGAGATCACATCTTGTGTTGCGCGATTTTTCCTTCTGCTGGCCACCATAAGGACTTGCTCCTAGACTTTTGTGACAAGTAGCGTCCCGTAGTCTTCCCACTAGGTCCTAACAATCTTGTATATGCAGTCTGCAAAAATGAAGCAAAGCAGCAAAGCAGTCATCTGGTTCAATAGAGATCACCAGTTCATTCAAAATGCTACCTCCATCTGCAGAAGTTTAGAAAGACAGAGCCAAAGAAAACAGATGACTCAGACCTCTTCAGCAAGTTTAAGGATTCTTGTGAGCTTCTTCAGTGTGTTTTTATAAACAGATGCTCATTTTTGAGCATTTAACACTAAATTTTTTTTCAAAACCAGCTAGCCTTTAATGTGACTACAAAGAAACAGGTATAGAGATTTTAGTCTTCAAGCACCAAGTATTTAAAATATGCCTTTTTAAGAGCACAATGAGTAAATAGATTATACACTAGAACTTCATCCACCTTGGAGACAGACCACTTCACTTAGTCAAAACTATGGTGAACATTCCTTTTCTTTCAACAGTGAGAAAAAGCTTCTTGGAAGAATGAGAAGGAATGAGAGAGATTCTACCAACAGTTTAAATCACATACACCCTCTCATTAGGATGGCATCTCACCAGATTCAAAAGGGAATAAAGAGGATTAGTGTTAAGCAAGCAATTTATTACTTAAATTTTGGTTCTGTGGTATACTGGGTTTTTTCTTCCAGCCCTTCATCTCTATGTACATTTCATGAAGAAGGTTGCAGACCCTTACTTTTAGGAAGAGACTTTTAAAAATAAAATATTTCAAATCATTTTACATAATTACTTGTAATTTCTTCCCACATGCACAGTTTCCTCTACTCTTCCCCTCTCCTTAGAGTGACTCAGCATTTCTGAGGTATTTGGGTATAATCCCACAAAATATCCACATGGCTTATATTCTTCTGGCCACTATAATGAAGTTCCACAGAAAGGGGTCTATTGAATAATATCCAGAGTCAGGGAGTATATCCACATCATATGCCTATAAAAGATATACTAAGGCTGATAAGAAAATACAGGTTAAAGGATATATGGTTCCAAGAACAGTAAAATAGAAAAAAATTGGTATTTTTCTTCCTCATCTGTCCACTGTGTATGTATATAAGGTCATCATATTTGTCTTTACTTTTTTTTCCACGTTCAAAAAAATCAATCCTAAATATAGAGTTACTTCTTTATCTAACTCTAACAGTATTTTGGTTATTTCTTTTTATTGCCGATGTGGGACATAGCAAAATTTCACAAGTAAGCTTTATTACAATATAGCATTTATTTTAATTCTGGGAAAGGACAAAAGCAAGTACAAGAAATTCCCTGTTCCCCCCCCAAAAAAAAAAAAATAAAAATCAAAGCCCTCGTGTATCTTTCACAATCCAACTGCATTCTTTTTTCCTTATGGGTTGTTTTCCTTTTATAGCCTAGGCAGACTTCCCCCCACAATTATTGCTCTACAGAGATGATTATAGTGAATGTTAAACAGAACAAAATAACCAAAATATTTGTTATTATATTATTGGTAAAATAGATGGAAGGTCAAAGAAATTACTTCATGCAAGGAAAGACACAAGATGCAAGTGGGGGG